AAACCCCAAGTCCCTTTTCAGGTTTCCCCACAGGGATTAAGACCCAGTGAATCCCCTCTAACTATAGTCCAAGGATGTGAATCGCTTGGCTGTCAGACAGAGAACATTGCGAAATTGATTCTGGCAAATGTAGATAGGTTAAAATGTAACACTACTTTTTTAGCTCCCTTTTGACCAATCTTAAATGTGTTCCAGTTTTTAATATTTTCTGCTTTCTTTTAGATTTTATTTTGTAATTATTGAGTGGGGGCTTGTTTCTTGTATTTGTTTTGTATGGTTTTCTGTATATGAAATCCAGCGTAGGTAAATCTAAATCTGGAAATGACGGTAACTGGATCAATTGAGGGTATCACTGGGGAGCGTGTGGAGAAATGAGGAGCTAACAACAATGAGTAAAAGAAAGGAGAAAGTGTCCCAAAACTGATTGTGGTGATAATTGCACAACACTTCTTAATATGACTGAACTATTGAACTGTCTGATAAGTGAGTTATATGCCAATGAAACTATTTTAAAAAGACAGTTCCGAATTAATTTCCTTTTTAAGATGTGATGAATCAGAAGAGATTCTTCCATTGAACATTTGAATTGAATAGATACAAGCCATTGAACTAGTGCTGCTAGTGTTGAAAGTTCTAATAACAATACAGAGGTAACAGAATTTGTCTCAAATTCTGGATTCATTCCTTGATGCACTTTAAAAAAATCAGTAACAAACTAGAAAATGTTACTATTTTAGAATCGGAAAAATATTGCATTTGCAGATTTACAGAAATACAAATTCTGCTTTATGGAAAATTTTTCTTCTAGTGATTTAAAATATTTCACATGGCTCAAAAGCTGACCATGTGACATCACAGTGGACCATTTGAAAATGTGTGTCAAAAACTTATGGGTGGTAAACAAGCAAGGTTCTGTAGCCAGAATACATTTCTAGGACACAAAGCTACTGGTGACAGTTAAAAGGGGAAGCAGCTACTATATTCTCCATCAGTCTGCTCTAAATATTTTGTTTGCAAATTATTCAATCCTAAATGATGTAATTCTCTATTTGCTTTGGGTTGGTTTTGTGATTGATGCCACTTGAATATCACTGATACACAAGAAAGCAGTTCAACTCACTGAGACTATGTGCTGTTTTATGTAAACTAAAGACATGTTTGGACTTCTTTCCTGAATGAACATATCAATAACGTATATCGGTGTTGGGGGGAAAAGGTACCATCTATCCCAAGGTTACCAAACAATTCCAATACATGGAAAATAAGAATTCCTGATAAAAAATGAGTAGATTTCAAATACAGGCAATCAATTATTTTTTAAATGTAGCATTGTAGATCTCTGGCAAAACCAACTATCACAGATGCTGTAATTCTTATTGCTGCTGCTGTTTGCCATTCGGTGCAGGTGACTCTGTTCTAACTCACAGTGACCGTGTAGTGACCGTGTGAACAACAGAGGGAAACCGCTCTGGGTCCTGAGCCAGGGGCCCAGTGTTGTTCTCTCAAAGCCCATGGTGGCAGCCACTATATCAGCCCACTTCATTGAGGGTCTTCCTCTTTTCCACTGCCCTCTGCTTGGCCAAGCATGCTGTCCTGCTCCAAGGATTGGCCTCTCCTGATGACCTGCCCAAAGTACTCGAAACGGAGTCTCGCCATCCCTGCCTCTCAAGAGCATTCTGGCTATACATCTTCCAAGGCAGATCTGTGTGTTCTTCTGGGTCACAGCAAGCCCACGTGACAATAGAATGTTCTCTAGAACAGCATCATTACGGGAGCAGATTGCCAGACTTTCCTTCTGTGGAACCACATGGTCGATGTAAACCACCCAGCACTTGGTTAGCAGCCGAGCTTACCTGACTTGCCTCTTGTCCCTACAAGGGTCTTTTCACTGATGATATTGGTCTCGTTTGGGGTGGAAGTTCGTAATCTGGAAGTGTTAGTCTTCTTTCTCCCTACTTCCTCCTCTAAGATCTATGCCTGGTGTGATCAAATATTCACATGTTTGATTGTGTGGCCAGCTTCTGAATACTTGGGGTTTCACACTGACCCAGGCAGGGTGCCTTCAGAGCTGTTGTGCACAGCAGCTTAGATCAGCTTTTTGTCAGACCAGAATCCCATGATTCCTCACGTAGGAAAGTTGTGTTAGCAATGTTTCTCTTTTGTTCCCCAATGCTTCTCTTTAGGATTTGTTTCTTTCTTTATGGATTTTCTTAAGCTTCATTTTGAGCCAAAAAGCTACTAAGAAAAACTGGTAGGATTGTGATAGTCAAAATTTGTGGATTTTAGTGCCAAGCTTTGGAGAAGGCATTACTTCCCTAGAAGAAAAAGACTAGATACAGTTTTAAAGTTTTTACTGACCTGTTTGGATAAGGAGCAGAAAACCAACCCCTCTTGATAAAAGCCATGGTCTATCCCTCAGAGAACTTTGAGAGTCTTGTTGTAGGAGGAAGAATCCAAGAAAAGTAGGAAAATGGGACACAAACCAAGTTGTTTGTATATTCAGCTATATGAACTAAACTCTTGGTTTTCCAGTTCATTTCATATAGCTCTCAGTATTTTAAAGAAAAGCTAATGCTCAACAGTGTTTTCCACCCAAATTACTCTGTAGATTGTTTTGTAAATTCTGCTCACATAGAAGGGGGGTTCAAAAAGTGTGTGGAAAATAGAAGTAACATATAATGTAATTTTTACACTGACTTATTGAAGCCCCCTTGTCTCCCAGGAGTGGGGAAAGAAGGGACATAGGGGATGAATAATACATGTCCCCTTAAAAAGTAATAAATAAAGGGAAGTAAGCTTTTCCTTTTCTCTGTTACACACATGATTCGAAAGTTGAGAGTCCTGTTGCGTGCCACAGGGAACAAGAGGGTCTAGTGGACTAAGCTCTGGTGGACCATGAAATCTGTCTGCTTGAGTGCAGGTTGGTGTACAGAGTGGATTTGGGGTTAAAGCACCAGCTGGGTCAAATGTGGAACCCTTAGTTTAGAGACTTGAGTTCCCCTAGAGGTGCCTGAGAAGAGACATGGCTCTTTCCTCCCCCACCCACCCCAAAAAAATGTGATAAGATTTTGTTGTCTTGAAAAAGAGCTATGAGTGAAGTAAACCACATTTACTGGGGACCTAGAATGTGGCAGATATAGTTCGAGAGTTTTATGTAAATTATCTCATGTACTGAATATAGGAACTTTAAAGTGAATGTGATTTCCCCAGTTTTAAAGAGGATGATGTACTTTCCTGTAAGCTCTGTTCTTGTGTGTATGGTGCTGGGTAAATACTGTGTCAAGAAAATCCAGTTTACTCCATGCCTTCAAGAGCTTGCAGCTCAAGACCTCCTGTGGATGTCAGAATGCTTGTAAGGGCATGAGGACCACAGAATTAAGACCTGGAATCAACATAACATGTGCAGTTCTTTTAGAGAAATATTCTGCCAAAGAGCGTCTTAAAATGCTCAGGGCCTTTAAAGGACAGAGGTAAATTCATAGCTGTGTTGAGTGAGCAGTCAGCCACACATAGTTGTGGTAAGGACTGAGGAGGAGAGGAACTGGAAGTTCTGTGTCTAGACAGGGTGGAGTGAAGAAAAGCAATTAGATGCTGGGTTGTGAAATGCATTGTCAAGAGCGTTGTGATTCCAGGATGCCAACAGGGCCATCCATACTACAGAGATAATAATGTCAAGTCGGCAAGAGTAGAATTCTCCATTGCATTTCAAGAGCTTCAATAAACTCTGTGTGTTTGTTTGTGTGTGATGCGTGTGTGTATAATCACTATAAGATAATATGGATAAGGAAATCGATCAACTCAGAAGAGCTGAGAATGGGCTTCTAGCCACAGTGCAAAACGCTGATGATTAAAAATGGGGATGCATTTCCTCCATCTAGTAAAATGCCTTCACAGTTGGAAACCTTGTATTAGCTAGCCCCCTACTCCTACTCTGGTTTCCATAAATTGCCTCATTTGGTAATTGGAATCCTGCATCTTTAAGTAAATCTGCATTTTGTCACCTTGGGTCTTCGAGGTGGCAATAACAGTAAGGCAAAGAAAACGAATTAGGAAAGTTCTTTTTATTTCAGCATGTTTCCTTGGGAGCAAGGACAGCTGTCCTGTGGTATCCACTGGGGATGAGGTTAAGGACAGCTTGGCTGGCCCTTACCTAGAGATACTAAAGTCTGTGATGCTCGTCTCTGACATAAAATGACACAGTATTTTCATATAGCCTACGCACATCATCCTCTAGACTTCAAATCATCTCTGGATTACACAGAATACCTAGTACAATGTAAATATCTGTTAGTAACTTTTTACATTCCCTCGTAGCCTTTGAAGAATAATTTTGACCACTTAACTGCTGTTTAGGAACTTCTCCCTGAATAATTTCCCATCTGTGGCTGGTTGAATATAAAGAGGGGGGAACCATGGATAAGGTAGGGCCAGCTGTGCTCTGTGGGCAGCACTGAGAAATTGAAAGAAAAGGGTTCTTCATGCAAGTCTACATAAATACTCTTGCCTATAAGATGCCTCCCCTGTTTCCTGGGGGAACTCTGTACTTGGTGGTCAAGGCTTTACATGGGCTGACAAAAAGCAACATTCATGAATTGCTTTGTCCTTTAACTTTAATGCTTAAGTGTAAGAAATCTGAGTCTCAAATTGGGCAAAGTGGTAAGAGGCTAATTTACTACTGCATGTTGGCCCAGAGTATTAAGTGGCTCTAGCTGTTCAATGTTCTTTTTTTGTTGTTGTTCTTAGTGGTTTAAAAAGTCTGCTGACTCCATCATTAGTAAGAAAATAAACTTAGCAGCAACTTGGTTGTACAGTGTTGTGTATTATAGTTTTCCCTGGAAAATGACAGTATTGTTTTTACTCAATTTAGTCAAATCTGCCAAAGGAAATAGGTGCTAGTTGGATGGGTGATTTGTCCCTTCATTTCCATGTTTGAACTTTAATCCAAAGAAACATAATCATCAAAAATTGATGAAAGTTTGTTTTTCTCTTCTCTCAAACAGGGCTGTCGGACAACTCCGAACTCCCCATCCGTGAGTTCACGGTCCATTACACTGGGTCCATCCGTGTCGCTCAGCAACATCTCAGGGATGTCTGTGAAGTCAGAGATGAAGAAGCGCCGAGCCCCTCCTCCCCCCTCCTTGCCAAGTCCAGGGGTACCTGTGCAAGACAAGGCATCAGAAAAGGTAGGGGGAGGCTGTTCTTGTAATCAGTGTATCCTGTAGTGTTTATCAACCAGCCAGTTCTCCGGAAGTGCCCACTGAGCACTGTGATCCTTCCAGTGTATGACTTTAGCAACTAGACTATTTAAGCTTTATTTAGAAATAAAGGTGAAATGCCACTCTGCTTCAATTATAGATGGAAGAAACTATTTTTGAGCTTTTAGTATAAAAAACCTGTATGTGTTGATTAACATTTTATTTTCAGCATTGAAATTTTGGGCATAGTCATGATTGCTTAATGAGAAGATTGTCAAAATAAAATCACCTTTTGACTTTGCACTGTACAGAGATGAACTAGCATATGACATAAATGCCCAGAGTAATTCATATTCACACACACCTAAGACATTTTTGTTATCTTAAGTTCCTCTCTGTATATTTATTTTGTGGGACCTTATATAGTTAGTTACTGTCATACTTTTTATTGTGATTTGGGTGCAAGTTTGCCTGATTGGTTTTTCATTCAACAATTTGGTTTGTACATAGATTGCAGTACCCTCAACAAAACATCACAGGCCCCACTTCCTGCCAGTGTTTATCAGTTCTATCTGTCCTTCTATAAAGTTCTCTCTTTATAGAGCTAAATCTTTGAGCTAATACTATCCTTTGGATCTTAGAGGATGGATGGTTCTGAAGAGTGTATTTCTCTCTAGTGTTATTGTTGACCCAGTCTAGGGGCTCTGATGGCATTTCGGGTTAGCCAGTAGCCTTTTGACTGCTAACCACAAAGTTGGCACTTCAATCCCACCAGCTGCTCCATGGGAGAAAGACGAGATTATCTGCTTCTGTAAAGATGTGCAGCCTCAGAAACCCTATATAGAATCACTGTTCAATTGCAGTGGGTTTAATTAGTTTAAAAGCCTGCCTATTGTTTGGCAGAAAATTCACTTCCAGATCTAAAGGGCGACCAGGGCCATACATAGCCTTGGGGATTCCACCAGTCTCTCCATCAAACTGGTCTTATTGACTTATTTATTGGTTGAGATTTATCCAACATTTTTCTCCTGTTCTATCCAGGACCCTAATTGTGATGCCTTTCAGAAGAGTTACACCATCTAGTACTTCAGGTCTCAGGCTCTTGGAGATCCAGTCTTCCTTTGGACTGATTGTTTTCAGGTGTTTTTGTTTTTCACACTTCTTTGCTCTCGATGGAGAAAGACCAGTATTAGGTGGCTGCTAGTAAGTCTCTAAGACGCCAGTAACGACTCCTAAAGTAAGAAGTAGAACACAGTCTTTGTGGAGTATGTTATGCCAATTGACATCAGTGTTCCCACAACTATGCTCCTAAGCCTCCAGGCCCAGTGACGCATTCCTTCAAGGTGTGTTTGGTGATAGCTACAAAATTTACCTACTTGTGTACCCTGTTTTCTCTCTTATAAACATGGATATATTTATAGCACATACAAATGTGCATGTACAAATATCTGCCAAACCTATATGTGATCGTAAATGTAGTCCCTTTCACCTACTCATACCAGTTTTTCCTGCCTGTATGCCTGTGTGTCCACTTCCAGCCTGGTAAGGCAGGGCTGTGTGTATTAGAGTATTTACCTTGTTGTCTTGTGTAGCACTGTGTCTTCCTTTTCGTTAATGATATTGTGCTGATCACCTCTTTACTCTTTGTTGCCTTTCTCTTCACCCAAATTGGAAGTGTATGTTTTCTAGTTAGTGATTTTTTTCCCCTCCTCTCCCAACCCATCTCTGGTAATAAAGAATTTATTTTTCTGTATGTAAGCCTCTTGAACTTTTGGAATCATGAGTTCAAACAGTACTTGTCCTTTTGTGATTGACTGATCACTCGCACAACGTCCTCTAGATTCATCCACGTTCTGAGGTGTTTGGCGGATTTTTCTTGGTTCTTTGAAGTTGTATAATATTCCCCTTTGTGTATCTGTACTACAGTTTCGTGGTCCATTCATCTCTTGATTGTTTCTATTTCTTTGCTATTGTTACTACTGGTGGACTGAATATGAGTATACATATATCTGTGTCCTGCTTCCTCTTTCTTTAAGATATATACCTGGTAATGAGATTAATGAATCAAATGGTATTTCGATTTCCACCATTTCAATGATACGCTATACTGTTTTCCACAGTAGTTGGAACATATTACGGTCTCACTGGTCATGTATAAAAGTTCTAATCGCCTCACACCTTCAGCAGCATTTTTGGTTTTCTGCCTTATTGAACTTTACTATTATAGTTGGGGTGAGGTGATATCTTATCATTGATTTGTAGCTCGCTAATGGCTAATGATCTTGAGTACTTATTCATATGTTCATTGGCCATCTGAATGTCTTCACGCTTTTAATTGAATGGGTCCTTTTGTTGTTGTTATTGAGCTGTGATTGTTTTCTTTTGATTTTTTCAGATTAGTCCCTTCTCAGGTTTGCCGTTTCCAAATATTATTTTCCCAATCTGTAGACTATCCTTTTGCTCTTTTGATGAAATATTTTCATATGTGTGTTAGACAGGGCTCTCTAGAGAAACAAAGCCAGAATGCTAATAGTTTTATATATATTTATACAGACAGATATGTAACATTAAGAAATAAACAGTTAATTAAATTATAAAGCAGTACAAATGGCTCAGTGCAACTCACTCCCATGAGACAGCTGTGAGACACTGGCAGTCCTTCAAGTCTTGAGGGCCACCGGTTAGTCCTCTGTGGAGTAATTCAGGCTACCCTGGCACAGGCTGCAAACAGCAAGGCAGGTCACCAACAGTCAGCCAGATGACAGCGTCCGACAGTCCCCAGCCCAAGAGATGTAAATTCCAACAGTGTGGCGAAGCAGTTCTTGAAGGAACCTCAAATTACAGTGACACAATCCACAGGTTAGGTGTCCCACAGGTAGTGTAGCTTGCAAATTGAGGCAAAGAACAAGCAAGGCAGCCGCACACTGGTCCAATGATCAAAGAGCAAGAGTCAAGAAAGGTGAGGCTCGCCAAGCCATTTATCTCTCCACCCTTCAATTAATCCCAGATGTGCTTATCGGCCAGGTTGGCACAATAAACTAACTACCTTAATATGTATATATGCTTATTTTTTAGAAGGTTCCAATCTTCTATGTTATCTTCTGCAGTTTGTCCACTAGTTACATTTGATAGTCTGTTGATACTGTCCATTGAGTCTCCAGGTGTCCTAATGCCACTTGGTCGTACCATGGAACAAGCATTGGGTTGCTAACTACAAGGTCAGCTGTTCAGATGACAACCTGCTCCATGGGAGAAAGATGAGATCATCAGGTCCCTGAAACATTCACAGTTTAGGGAACTTAAAGGAACAATTCTACCCTGTCCTGTACAGTAACTATGGGTCAGAATAAATTTACTCAATGACAATGAGTAAGTTTTCCTGTGCTTTTTTTTTTCTTTGAAGAACTTTATAGTTCTAGGGTTTACATGTAGGGTTTTGATCCATCTTAAGCTAGTTTTTTTGTATATAGTGTGAGGTACAGATATTGTTTCATTTTTCTTAAAAATGGATATCCTATTTAGCTAGCACAGCTTGTTAAAAGAGTTGGTCTTTTCCCCCATTAAATAGATTTTGGCTCATTACTGAGAATTATCTGCCCATGAGTGGGTGGATTTACTCCAAGTTTCTTTTATGTTCCATTAGTCTATGTTGCTGTTGTATTTCTAGGTTATTATGACTATTGCTGATAGGCGTGTGGACTTTGAAATAGGCAGCCATGAGACCTATTTTATTCTTTTTCATTAGTACTGCTTTGCTTCTTGGGACCTTTTTCCTTAGTCATTGGTTTATCCATCTATTTAAAGAATGTTGGTAGAATCAGCATCAAAATTTTATTATATCTGTAGATTGCTTTGGATAGCATTGGTATTTTCTTTTTTTTAATTTAATCATTTTATTGGGGCTTATGAAATTTAGCACAATACATAGATCAATTGTGTAAAGCACACCTATACATTTGTTGCCCTCATCATTCCCAAAATTTGCTTTCCTCTTGGGTTCCTGGAATCAGCTCATTTTCCTTTTTTTCCCTCCCCCTCCCTCCCCTCCCCCCCTCCCAACATTGGTATTTTCAGAATGCTAAATCATTTTAAACATAATCTTGGTATGTTCTTCGATTTCTTTTCTCAGAGTAGTGTTTTGTTATTTTCTTTGTATAATCCATTTTTACCTATGGTTGGGTTTATCCTTAATAATTTTAGCTTTTCGGAAGCTATTGTAAATAGTATTGTTTTTATTTTATTTTCAGACTTCTTTTATATGTAAAGGAATCTGACTGATTTCTGAATGTTGACCTTGTGCCCTACAACTTTGTTGAATTTTTCCATCAGTCCAATAGTTTTCTTACTGGTCACTGGGATGTTCTATGTATAGCATCATATTATCTACAAATAGGAATATTTTTATTCTATATCAATTTGGGTGTCTTATTTAATTTTATTGCCTTCGTCACTGGACTTCCAGGACAGTGTTCAATGGTAGTGATGATAGAGGACATCATTTCCATTCTCAAGGGTAATGCTTTTAGTCTATCTCCACCGGGAGTGGTGTTGGCCATTGGTTTTATATATATGGTTTTACATAAATTAATTACATTGAGGGATTTTCCTTTTATTCCCTTCTATTTGATGGGACATTTTTGTCTTTGTTTGATAATCAGGAATGAGTGCTACGTTTTATCAAATATCTCTTATGCATTGATTGATATTGCCATGTGGTTGTTTTCTTGTGCTTAATTAATGTAGTGAATTACATGGATGTTTTTCAAAGTTGAGCCATTCTTGTACATGTGGTAGAATTCCCAGTTGGTCATAATGTATTGTTGTTTATATGGTGTTGGATGCTGTTGGCTAGGACTTTTCATCTATGTTCATGAGGGATATTGAACTTCAGTTTTATTTTTTATGCTCACTCTACCTAGTTTCTGGTATCAGGGTCCTGCTTTCATCATAAAATAAATTTGTTAGCATTTCAAACTGTTCCATGGTGT